TTGGGAGAGGGTGTTGGGTGGGAGGGGGTGGTGTTGGGAGAGGGCGTGAGGGTGTGGGTGTTGGGAGGGGAATGAGGGGTGTGGTGTCGGGTGAGGGAGTGAGGGGTGTGGTGTCGGGTGAGGGAGTGAGGGTGTGGTGTTGGGAGTGAGAGTGACAGCACTGTTGGGTGAATCTACAAACCACTGGCATGAAAGAGAAAATGAACTTATTTATCAACGGGTAAAGTGAAGCCAGGACGAGTATGGGAGAGACACAGGAACACTGAAATTCACTCACTTCTGGAGGAAGGAGGTGTGGTGGTGGTGGCTGGTAACATGGTGGTGATGGCGTGGTGATAGTGGCTGGAGATGTGGTGATAATGGTGGTAGAGGTGGAGGTGTAGTGGTGGTGGTGGTGGTGAAAGGAGGTGTGGTAGAGATGGTGGTGGTGATGGTGGTAGAGGTGTCGTAGTGGAGGTGTGTGGTGGTGGTGGTGGTGGTGGTGGTGGTGGAAGGAGGTGTGGTAGGGATGTAGGTGTGGTGGTGATGGTGGTAGAGGTGTACTGCAAGGTTTCATGGCCAGGTAAATCCCAGGAGCCTTGAGCACCATTGAGAGCCCTCCTCTCCTTCTCTCTGTCCCTCTCTCCCTCTTCCCTTTTTCCTTCTCCCTTCTCTATCCCCTCCGTTTCTCCTCCTCTTCCTCTCGCAAATCCTTCTCCTCCTTTTCTCCTCTTTCCTCGTCTCTCCTTCCCTCCCCCCTCCCCTCCCTCCCCCTCCTCCCCATCCACTTCCAAGCTGAACTCAAAAGTTTCCCGCAGTAAATTGGCCCTCATAACTAACGATGTATAAACACACTTGACCTATCTGGTTGACGGACGGAATCCCCAAAGGTCACATAACTATTTCTTAGCTCTACCTTAAATCGCTACTTTTATTATGTGTCACTTAAAGGTGAAAATAGTAAAGTAGCGAATCACTGATAAGAATCTGTTTGTTTATTATCGTCTCACTGGGTTAAGTAAAGGTTTGTATGCCAGGTACTGTAGGTAATCTTAGTGTGTGTGTGTGTGTGTGTGTGTGTGTGTGTGTGTGTTTGTTGGTGTTTTTTTTTATTTGTTGTAGGTTGAGTCTGTTTTATATATCGTATAACTAATATCTTAATGAACTATGACAAGAATATGAAAAAAACAGCTTCTTGTTTTTAATTATTTATCAGTTTCTTAAACATTTTAGTCAACGCGATTAAATTTTCACTTTCCCAGACTGACGAGTTTACAAGGGAAGCTCACACGTGTGCCTAAGTATATGACCCGTAAATACTGGCCCCTGTCTCTACCATGTTGCACCCACCATCATCCCTACACCACCACCACCACCACCACCACCACCCCACCACCACCAACACTACCTTCACACTACCACCACCCCGCCTACCTTCACCACTACCACCACTACAACCTTCACCACAACCACTACCAACAACCACAATACCCCACCATCAACCACCACCTTCAGCCATTATGTTTATTAAGCCGGATTTAAACTAATTCAAACTTACACACGTTACCGGCTTTGTGTGGGCTGCCTCTAGACCAGTGGTTCTCAACCAGGAATTCAGGTTTTCGGAAACTGATTCGGGGCAAGAGATGCAAATCAATCACAGAATTTTGGTTGATGTGATTCCTACCCAAAAGTGGCAGAAAGAGCTATCCGTGCATTGCTTCCGTTTGTGTCGACATATCTTTGTGAGTCAGGCTTTTCAACTCTGTTGCAAATTAAAACAAGCAACGTAGTAGATTAGAGGTAAATGACCTGTGTTGTGCCCTTTCAACACTCCTCGCGTATCCCAAATTGGCGAAGAAAAAACAATCACAGGTTTCTCATTGACTGTAATCTTCATCTGAATAAAATTAATTAGAAATTTACAATATCCTGGTATTCTATTGAACTTTTTGTTTATTGCATTATGCTTCAGTTTGGTCTGTTAAGTAATTCATATAAATATAAAAAAACTATTTTACTTTTATTCAAGTTTTATAAATCCATCAACATTTTCAATGGCATTTAATTTGTAAAACTCCACTATAAAATAATCCATATAAAATTGTAAATGTATATGTACTAATATGGAAAAAATAAAGGTTTTCAGTATTATATGCATATTATTTGGAATGCACTTTTTGAGGCAGACAATCTTGGAAAAAGAAGAGTGACATTCTGACATATGGTGAAAGGGGTGCATGGGGCAAACAAGGTTGAGAACCACTGCTCTAGACACTTCCCTCTTTGCATGAATGTGACCTGAGATAATTTTTACCATTACAGTAATTAGATTTCAGCTCCTCACAAAATTATCATACATCAGATTTGTCGACTTGAAAAATACATAACGATGGGAAGGATTTCAGACTGTATTTAAAACTCTGTAATGTGGTAATTGATTTAGATATATATATATATAAAATGTAGTTCGAGGTCATAGTAAAAGTCTTGTAAAATTGTTTATATGGACAATGGGGGGGAGGATGTCAACGCCCCGCCTACTAGATCTACAGCCAATCATCTCGCTGAAAATCGACATCACAATCAACTTCGACCAATTGGATTTAGCCTGACTGTGATGAAGGGCCGTGCTGAAATATATAAATTTACCAATATTCTGCCTTTGACAATAAACAAATTAAGTATAAATTTTGTTTTGCGAATACGTTTTGTGTGTGTGTGTGTGTGTGTAGAGCAACATTTTGAAACTCTTCACCTTCATCATAATCTCATTCACCCTCCTCCTCCTCCCTCCCCCTCCCTGCCCTCCTCTCCTCCCTTCTCCCTCCCCCTCCCTCCCTCCCGCTCCTCCCTCCTCCTCCCCTAGCCCCTACAAGTTACCCCTAACACACACATCCTGTAGGCGACTCACTACACATAAACCGGATCATAAAAAAAAAAACGTAATTTACCTCAATGAAACTTTTCTACCTCCTCAAGCTTTCGTAATTAAGCTTTAGTATACCGTTGTTATTTGTCCGGTTTTTTTTTCTTCAGCTTTTGTACTGTTAGGGGAAATTAAAGAAAAAAAATAACGTACGTATTGTTGATGATCAATTAGCTCAGGTAACGGAAAATTTCTGGTATTTTTGGGGGGATCTCCATTACAAACGTGAAGGCGAAGTTCAATGGATTTTTTCTTCTCTGGTAAACAATATTTTGACGGTTTCTCGCTTCTCAGTCTCGCCAGTGTCATATTTATTTATACGCAACAGGTGAGATACGCAACAGGTGAGATACGCAACAGGTGAGATACGCAACAGGTGAATACGCAACGGTGAGATACGCAACAGGTGAGATACGCAACAGGTTGAGAAGCATAGATAATTGTCTAAGAAGCGTCGGTGAGGCGTATTGTGTGATGAATTTACTGGCAGGTTTTTTGGAGAGAGTAGGCCATAGTTAGTGAAGCTTAAGCCAGAGACCAATTTAGCCTTAGTAAGGGTGATTAGTGACCCACAGAAGGAGGCGTAGAATTGAATGTTTAATATCAAGGTTAGCTGTGGTTAGATTAGGTTAGGTTAGGTTAGGTTAGGTTAGGTTAGGTTAGGTTAGGTTACCCTGTATCTGCAATACTAAATGGTTATTGTGTACATGACCACTGCCACACATATTCGACTCTATCAAAAACCAATTGAGAACCAGCCTGGAACACCACCAATAACTGTTATATATATTTTAGGATGAACACAGTCGACCCTCCCTTCAAAACGTGACGACATCCACCACTGAATATTAATACCTTTTTTAATACAGAACACCTTTGATGTTATTTATTATCAAACTAACTATTCAGTATCGTGTATAATGTGATCGTTTGTTAAAAAAAAAAGGCTATTTGGTATGTCTGTATGTCTCAGTGTATGTATTAGTTCAGGTTAAAAGGCATTGAATATGAAACACGGTGTAACTTTTCTCCTCTGTCGCTGCCAGGTGGGTGTATACGTGTGTTTGTTTAAGCTGATAATATGGTCGTGTCTGTGTGTATATTTCTAGTTGTTGTCTTGATCATTCTCCTGTCACTCTTTCTTTAGACAGAAAAATCAGGTTGGTAAATTAAAAAGACAGTTATTTACTTGTCCCGTCCATAATGTATCCAGATCTCTGAACATGTTATCGGTGTTAAGTGTCGTTGTGTCTCCAGCTTTCTGTGATATATATAAATACATGAAGATATTCCAACTGACACGTATCTCACAGGTCAGGTGATACATGTATATAGCGTTGTTGACCTTTGTACTTGGTTGGTAGTATAAATAATCCCAGGTAGAGTTAAAAACCTGTCAGATATTTTAACGTGAAATTGGATCCCATACTAAGACTTCGGTACTACGCTCAACGGCCTTCACTTCCCCAAATTATAAACTTAGGTACCCATTTACAGCTGGGTGAACTCGGTACACATAATACCTTATAGGTACTAAAAAAACCTATAATTCCAGAGGAGTTTTAACCTTATGTCTTACTTAATGTAACTTATAAGTATTGGAAATAAATAAAATAGCATCTATAATTCCAGTTGATGTCATTGATAAGATAAAATCAATACAGTTCATGTGAGGGTTAAAAGAACATGAATAATTCCGGTTTATATCAAGGATGAGATAAAAGAACATTCATATTTCCAGTTCATATCAGGAATGAGAGAATATAAATCCAGTTCATGTAAGAGATAAGATAAAAAAACTATTATTCCAGGTCACAATTCACGTCAGAGAGCCACTGGTTACATATCGCGGCTCTCCTACGACCTAATGAACGTCACATTACATAGAGAGGTGAAGGAAAGACGACCCTATTTCCTTGGCAATTAAGAGAGTACTGTGGGCGTGAAGTGTGGGTCGTTCAATGTATTAATCTCTCTCTCTCTCTCTCTTTCAATTAACCTCAGAATCCGTCTTGTCTGTCTTATCGTGGTCTCAGGTCACAACATAGGTCCTTTCCATACACCACTAAATATTACCCGTCTCTCGTTACAGGACTGATTATGGAGGCGGTGAAGACGAGGCTGACGAAGAGGGTGATGACAGAAGCCGAAGCCGCAGATACACAGCTACAAACAGCGAACTGGAAAAACTCGATCAACTGTTTCGTTTTGGTGACCGCGAACAATACGACCGTCGCCAAACTCCCTCCTATTTCGCGGGTAAGTTCCATATAAATTTTTCTATACTGTATTATGTATAAAATGGGTGTATTAATGTATAGAATTGTATAACGAAGATCATATAACTTGTCATCCATCTAGGTATATTCTCCTGTCATCCATTCTAACCCTTGACCTCATCCAACCCTGAAATCATCCAGTGTAATCTTATCCATTTCTCTTGTCTCTATATAATTATTAAGTAATTTATTGTCTCTTTCTCACTTCCCCTTTCACTTGTTTTTTTTTTCGGTTTCATTTAGTTTTTATTTATCTTCGTTTTAATCGTGTTTGTTCCTTTCCCCTTCTTGTTTCTTATTGTTCTCCTATTTCTCTTTTAATTTCTCCTTTATCCGCATTACTACTTCCTTCATTCTAAACTACCATTTCTTATTTATTTCCTCCTTATTATTTAGAGTTCATCAATCTATTATCTTCTCTTTTATTATTCTTTTATGTTTGTTTGTGGTTTTATTTATTTTCATATTCTATTTCTTCTCTTTTATCAAACTTTCTTTTAGACGTATTTGTTCAGTGACTGTCTTTTTTATTTTTGAATTTTATCCACCTCCCCGTCACTCTCTCTCTCTCTCTCTCTCTCTCTCTCTCTCTCTCTCTCTCTCTCTCTCTCTCTCTCTCAGGGAAGCTTTCAGTACAATTACTCTTAAACAGACTCTAGGTACAGTCCCCTTCACTAGTGCGTTTACAGGAGCATGTCAGGTTTTGTGCAGTGTGGCACTCTTAAAATAAATATCTCAATGTAATGATTTGTGGAATGTTGATAATGACGAGCCCTTGTAAACGCAGAAGTGAAGGAGATTCTACCTATATCACTGAGAAAGACATAAATGTTCTTCACAATGATCAGTCTTTATTACTACTGATTGTTAAGTTTCTGTTTATTACACGTTCTAAAATATAATAATTGGTTATGGTTCTCGAATAAAAAAAAATTACCCTATATAAGTCAGTAATAATAATAATAATAATAATAATAATAATAATAATAATAAGTTTGATGATGATGATGATGAATAAATAAATAAATAAATAAATAAATAAATAAATAAATACCCAGACTTTCATATTTCTCGCTTCACGTGACCGCCTTAAGAGTAATCTTGGCCATTCGTCTCTGGCTGGTGGTAAAAGTGGTAGCCAATCCGACAGACGTGTGACAGAAATGAAGGGAATGTCGAGACAAAATCAGGAGGTGAAGGAGACGTGAGGTAGAGGAAGCTTGAGGATTTACGACCATTTGTACCAGCTGAGAGGTCTTTTCTGTGGTGGTGATGAGGGCGTGTAGTGGTGATGAGGGGGTGTGGTGGTGATGAAGGGGTTTGGTGATGAGGTGGAGACAGAGCGATGATCAAGTGGATAGAGTGTGGTGGATCAGGTGGAACAAAGAAAGAGTTAGACAATATGACAAACCAAACCAAGAATTCTGAAAACAAAACAATACTCATGAGTTGGTAACACTGCCTTTCTAGTATTGCCAGACAGTGGTCGTTGCTAAGGCCGTCAGACCCAGAGGTACAGAAATTTGTGTTGTTGACTGTGTATGTAGAATTTAAATTGGAAAATATGCATCTGAGAATAACGCAGAGACGGAGAGAATGAATGAGACACAGAATGAGTAACAGGGAGAGACAGAGAGAGGGAATGAGTGAAAGGGGAAGACAGAGAGAGAATGGAATGAGAGACAGGCAAAATGGGTAATGGCGAGAGATATAAAGGGGAAATGAGTGAAAGAGGAAGAGAGAGAATGAAAGATAATGAACGAGAGAGAGAGAGAATGAGTTAAAGGGGGAAAGAAAGATAGAGAATGACTGAAAGGGGGAGAAGGAAAGAGAGAGAATGGGTGAAAGAGAGAGAGAGAGAATGAGGAAAGACAGAGAGAGAGAGAGAATGAATGAGAGAGAGAGAGAGAGAGAGAGAGACACCTCATGAATAATTAAAGTATATCCTCGAGGTGTTGATTCAGTAATAGACAAGGTGATAGTTGAGACTGATGGTGATGAGGAGTGATGAGGGGTGGTGGTGGTGATGAGGGGTGATGGTGGTGATGAGGGATGGTGGTGGTGGTGGTGGTGAGGGTGGTAGTGGTGATGAGGGATGGTGGTGGTGATGAGGGATGGTGGTGGTGATGAGGGATGGTGGTGGTGGTGGTGATGAGGTGGTGGTGGTGGTGGTGGTGGTGATTAGGGGTGGTGGTGGTGGTGTTGATGAGGTGATGGTGGTGATGAGGGGTTGGTGGTGGTGAGGGTGGTGGTGGTGGTGAGGGTGGTGGTGGTGGTGAGGTGGTGGTGGTGATGAGGGATGGTGGTGGTGATGAGGGATGGTGGTGGTGGTGATGATGGGGGTGGTGGTGGTGATTAGGGTGGTGGTGGTGGTGTTGTGATGAGGGGTGATGGTGGTGATGAGGGTGGTGGTGGTGGTGAGGGTGGTAGTGGTGATGAGGGATGGTGGTGGTGATGAGGGATGGTGGTGGTGATGAGGATGGGTGGTGGTGGTGATGATGAGGTGGTGGTGGTGATGAGGGGTGGTGGTGGCGATGAGGCATGGTGGTGGTGGTGATGAGGGTGTGGTGGTGGTGGTGGTGATTAGGGTTGGTGGTGGTGGTGTTGATGAGGGGTGATGGTGGTGATGGGGGTGGTGGTGATGAGGTGGTGGTGGTGGTGATGAGGGGTGGTGATGATTAGGGTGGTGGTGGTGGTGGTGATGAGGGAGGATGGTGAAGATTAGGGGTGGTGGTGGTGGTGGTGGTGATTAGGGGTGGTGGTGTTGATGAGGGTTGATGGTGGTGATGAGGGTGGTGGTGATGAGGAGGTGTGGTGGTGGTGATTAGGGGTGGGGGTGATGATTAGGGTGGTTGGTGGTGGTGGTGATGAGGGAGGATGGTGAAGATTAGGGGTGGTGGTGGTGATGAGGTGGTGGTGATTAGGGGCGGAGGGGTGATAAAGGGGTGGTAAGGTAAGGGATAGTGAGGCGAAGATACGTGAAGTGACGGGTAGCGAGGAGAGTAATAGTAGTGAAGTGAGAGGTGAGGTGAGGTGAGGTGAGGTGTAACTAGTGGTGATGTGAAAGGAAACACTTCACAGGTACAACCACTAATACCCTTAATGACGAACCATAAATGAATAACAACAGGTGTGAAAGGTGGTGGTCAGTGCATCAGGTTACCAGGAAAATATGTAAATAGAATGATGGCGATAGAATGAAAGAAAGAAAGAAAGAAGGGAAGAGACAGACAGACAGACAGACAGTAATCGTATGGACTAGAAGAGATGAAAGGAGTTATTGTAACTTATATGTAGGGGGAAAAAAGGTGAAGAGAAAATTGATGATAAAGATAAGGAGGGAGAGGAACAGAACGGAACTGAATAATTAAAGAGGAAAGGAAATAAGGAGAGTTGATGTAGTTGACAGGTTACTTCAATCAAGAACGTTAAGTTGAGACACGTGGAAGGCTTAAGTGAGGATAAGATGGTTGATGGAGCCTTAAAAGTTGACGAAGAGAAATAATGACCTATTTCACCTGCAGATTAATTACTCTGACACTGAACTAACCTAACCTAACCTAACCTAACCTAACCTAACCTAAATCCCAAGGTAACGTTTAATCAACAGGTGAAATAAGCTTGGGGGGGTTGGGGTGCTAATCTTCAGGTGACCCGGAATAATCATGTTTTAATCAAGGAAGAGAAACACTTGAATAAAAATGGAGATGAATTTTCTAAGAAGAGAAAGTGGAATTGAGAGAGAATTAAGATAAATGAGGAAGATGGAGATTACAATGAGTTAGGAGTTAGTTAATAATGACACCCACACTCTAGTCCAGGGGTTTTATAATTACCTGTTTTATAGAGTTGTAACTGTTGATTGTTGTGAGGACAGTCTTTAGTGGCAGAGATTTTGTTGAAATACATTGTTACGTGTGTTGATTTTCTTTGTGGTAACTATATTATATGTATTTATGTGCAGGTGGTGGGTCGATATGCTCCGAAATGTTAAGTTTGACAAGTGACAGCTCTCATATACCAAAATTTATTTTCCATGGTCTCATATTGTTTCCCACAAAGTATGCACAGATAGTTGTTTTAGCTACTGTACAATACATAGTTATCCATGGAAAGATAAAGTTGTGCTCGTATGAGAGAGGTGAGTGTTCTCTGCCCTCTGACCTGTGTTGGTCTAAGTGCTCTCGTCTATTTTAAGGAGCACCGTTTCTTGGAAGGAACATGAAATCGGCATATTGTCACAACATTTAGGCCTGTATATTCAACAACTGCTGACCCTGTGTGAGCGAGGGTTACACAGGGAACTCGACAAGAGTGTCACAACACTTACATCTGTCTATTAAGAGTTGAGACACAACAACCTCTGGTCCTGTGTGAGTTTATTGTTGTTTGTAATACCTTCACAATGGTCCCAGAACAAAGGGATGTTGTGCTCTTGCTACCCAACCCAACCCAACCCAACCCAACCCAACCCAACCCAACCTTGTCTACAACTGATCTCTTCCCCGATACAATACACAGCGAAACCCCTACATACGTGTACATGCCTGCACACACGTGTACTCTCAGGTTTACGTACACTCAGGTGTTCGGACCTGTTAACAACGGGTACAAATCTGAATGTTTACAGAGCGCGGACCGTAGTGTGGTGGCCATCTTGCCCCTCCTCTCTCTTTTTCCATCTCTCTCACAAATTGAACAGGGTTTTTCAGGCAATTCGTTGACAGGCGGGAAAAAATATGAAAGTTAGAGAAGCTTTCTGTGCCTCTCTCCCCTCCAGGTGGCTTGTGAACTGTGATTTATTTTTCTATTTTCCTCGTAGAAAACTGCAATATAAGAGAATGGATGCTATTTCAGTTGTCTACCCTCCCATGTCTCTCTCTCTCTCTCTCTCTCTCTCTCTCCACTATATAAAAAACACAAGGTTTGAGTCAGAATAATAATGGGTTCCTTCTCCCATTTCCTCCGATTAATGAGGTT